CACTATTGTTCAACATAGTACTAGAAGTGCTAGCCTCAGCAGTCAGACAACAGAAAGAATAAAAGGCATTCAATTTGACAAACAAGAAGTCAAACACTCTCTCTTTGCAGATGACATGATACTTTATATGGAAAATCCAAAGACTCCACCCCCAAATTGCTAAAACTCATACAGCAATTCAGCACCATGGCAGGATACAAAAATCAATGCACAGAAATCAGTTGCATTTCTATACACTAACAATGTGAAGGAAGAAAGAGAAATGAAGGAATTGATTCCATTCACAATTGCACAAAAATACGTTAGATACCTAACCAGAGTTAAAGGATCTGTACTCTAGAAACTACAGAACACTTATGAAAGAAATTGAGGAAGACACCAAGAGATGGAAAAATATTCCATGCTCATGGATTGGAAGAATAAACATTGTTAAATTGTCTATGCTGCCCAGATTAAACTACACATTCAATGCTATCCCTATCAAAACATCATCAACTTTTTTCACAGAGCTGAAGCAAATGATCCTAAAATTTGTATGGAGCAAGAAAAGACCCCAAGTCACCAGGAGAATGTTGAAAAAGAAAACCAAAGCTGAGGGCATCACACTGCCTGACTTCAAGCTATATTACAAAGCTGTGATCAAGACGGTATTGTACTGGCACAAAAACAGACACATAGATCAATGGAACAGAATACAGAGCCCAAAAATGGACCCTCAACTCTATGGGCAACTAATCTTTAACAAATCAGGAAAGAATATCCAATGGAAAAAAGACAGTCTCTGCAATAAATGGTGTAGGGTAAATTGGACAGCCACATGCAGAAGAAAAAAAAAAACTGGACCATTCTCTTACACCATACACAAAAATAAACGCAAAATGGTTCAAATATCTAAATGTGAGACAGGAATCCATCAAAATCCTAGAGGAGAAGATAAGCAGCGAGCTCTTTGAGCTTGGCCATAGCAACTTGTTGCTTGACTAGTCTTCAAAGCTAAGGGAAACAAAAGCAAAATTAACTATTGGGACTTCGTCAAGATAAAAAGCTTCTGCACAGCAAAGGAAACAGTCAACAGAACTAAAAGGCAACCTATGGAATGGGAGAAGATATTTGCAAATGACATTACAGATAAAGGGCCGGTATCCAAGATCTATAAAGAACTTCTCAAACTCAGCACCCAAAAAACAAAGAATCCAGTTAGGAAATGGGCAGAAGACATGAACAGACATTTTTCCACAGAAGACATACAAATGGCCAACAGACACATGAAAAATGCTCCATATCACTTGCCATCAGGGAAATACAAATCAGAACCACAATGAGATACTACCTTACACCAGTCAGAATGGCTAAAATTAAAAAGACAGGAAATAACAAATGTTGGCAAGGATGTGGAGAAAGGGGAACCCTCTTACACTGTTGGTGGGAATGCAAGCTGGTACAGCCACTTTGGAAAACAGTATGGAGGGTCCTCAGAATGTTAAATATAGAGCACTCCTATGATCCAGGAATTGCACTACTGGGTATTTACCTCAAAATACTATGTTGTTAAAAGGGGGGTACATGAACCCGAATGTTCATAGCAGCAATGTCCACAATAGCCAAACTGTGGAAGGCCCGAGATATCCCTTAACAGATGAATGGATAAAGTAGATGTGGTTTACATGAGAGACGATGGACTCTGAAAAACAAACTGAGGGTTCTAGAGGGGAGGGGGGTGGGGGATGGGTTAGCCTGGTGATGGGTATTAAAGAGGGCACGTTCTGCGTGGAGCACTGGGTGTTATGCACAAACAATGAATCATGGAACACTACATCACAAACTAATGATGTAATGTATGGTGATTAACATAACAATTTAAAAAATTTAAAGGAAAAAAAAGTAGATGTAGTTTATACATACAGTGGAATATTACTCAGCCATCAGAAAGGATGAATACCCACCATTTACATCGACATGGATGGAAATAGAGGGTATTATGCTAAGTGAAATAAGTCAGAGAAATAAATCAGAGAAACACAATTATCATATGGCTTCACTTATATGTGGTCCATAAGGAATAGTGCAGAAGATCATAGGGGAAGGGAGGGAAAACTGAATGGGAAGAAATCAGAGAGGGCTACAGACCATATGAGACTCTTGACTCTGGGAAACAAACTGAGGGTTGATGAAAGGGAGGTGGTTGGGGGCATGGGTCAACTGGGGTGATCAAATTAAAGAGGGCACATGATATGATGAGCACTGGGTTATAATCAACTAATGAATCATTGAACATTATATGAAAGCTAATGATGTACTATACCTTGGCTAATTGAATTTAAATAAAAAATAATCTAATTGATGCTTCAAAATCAGGTTTTTATTTTATTTTTTTTAAGATTTTTTAAAATTTTTATTTATTTGACAGAGAGGCAGAGAGCACAGGTAGGCAGAGGGGCAGGTAGAGGGAAAGGGAGAAGCAGGCTTTCTGCTGAGCAGGGAGCCCGATGCAGGGCTCAATCCCAGGATCCTGGGATATGACCTGAGCCGAAGCCAGTCGCTTAACCGACTGAGCCACCCAGGTGCCCCCAAATCAGGTTTTTAAATGACAGAACGGAACAAAACACTTTTTTTTTTTAAAGATTTTATTTATTTATTTGACAGAGAGAGACACAGCGAGAGAGGGAACACAAGCAGGGGGAGTGGGAGAGGGAGAAGCAGGCTCCCCGCGGAGCAGGGAGCCCGATGTGGGACTCGATCCCAGGACCCTGGGATCATGACCTGAGCCGAAGGCAGACGCTTAACGACTGAGCCACCCAGGCGCCCCCGGAACAAAACACTTTCTATCTTTTTTTTTTTTTTTAAGATTTGTAAGAGGGTTTTGTTTGTTTGCAGAGAATGAAGCGTTTTTGTTAAATACAGGAGAGGCTACCTGGCTTAACAAACATACACTTTTTGGAATCCTATCTAATGTCACCAAGTTGAAAACTTTGGAATGGCTTCAATCATCCCCATGCTTCCTGTAGGCATCCCAGGCTGAGCAATCAGGAACGTGCGTGTCGCCTCCCCACTGGGATTTACACCCTCTTCATTCCTTTCTCTATCTTTTGAATGAAAATGGATAATACACAAATATGCAAAAGAGAAATGACATGTGGACATAAATAAAAAAATGAAAATATCCTACTGCTAAGCTGTATTAATAATAAATAAAAACATACTTCACTAGGAAGAAAAATGGTTCCATTAAAAAATGAATTCACACTAGTGAATCATTGACTATTATATCAAAAACTAACAATGTCCTATACCCTGGCTAACTGAATTTAAATTAAAAAAATAAGTAACAGACCATTTTCCTTAGAAAAAATAGACAATATTATTAGAAACAACTCCTCAAAAAGGCATAAGATGCAATTAGCTTCACAAGAAACTCTAACAAGCCTTCAAGGATCATAGATTTCACTTGTTTGAGATATATATATATATATATAGATAGATAGATAGATAGATAGATAGATATAGCAACTATATATATATATCTCAACTACATATAGTTTGAAATGATGGAAAATTTAAATTCTTATAGAAAGAAATATAACAGTGATACATATGCTTGATATATAAAATACAGAAAAATGAAAATTGGGGAATATTATGAAATATTGATACAAATGTTCTAAATAAAATGTCAACAGTGAGATTCCATTATCAGATTAATATATTCATACACTGTGTCCATAGTGAGTTATTGCAGATGTAGAGTGACATTCCATATTGATAAGTGTTCTAAGATATCATATTAATAAATCAACAGATGAAAATAACATGATATCACTAGGCTTAGAAAGTTCCCTCGACTAAGTTGAAATCAAAGCCCTAATAAAAACCACATAAAATAGAAACAAGTGGAGACACTCACACTGTGATACCACATGCTCACCCCCACACACAAAACGCATCCCCATTGTCAGGAAATTAGCTAATGGGTGGCTGGAGGAGGACATTGTTACAAGTTCAGAAACAGGGAAGTGTGACCTCAGTGTTATTATTCAACATCCTCCTGCAAGTATTAGACAATGGAAGTGAACAAGAAAAATGACTGGGTAGATCTCAGTAATGATGGGAATAGACATGGAGTTATTTCCAAAGACCCAAATACATGATTCCACCATAGATACTCCAGGGCTGTTGCGACGGGGACAGAAGAAATTACCGCAGTGAGCAAAAAGAACAGGCATTCTTGTTGAAGACTATTAAGAGGACTATATAGGTCTGAAAACTTCTAGAAATGGGTAACTGGCCAAGAATGGAGAGCCCAGATTCCTCAGAAGCCAAGAGTGAGATCATCACGCTGGACCTGCTACACCTAGTCCATTAACTTCAGTGCAAAGAGACTCTGTGCCCCCGACCTAATGGGTTAGATAACATTTCTGTGCCTTTGAGACCATTTGTCTAGGAAGGGTCTGCAGTGAGTGTCTTTGAGGACAGTGGGAAGGAGAAACCCTCACTCCTAGGTGGTTCCACTGCGTGGAACTTGGACCCCTGTTGGTGAAAGCAGGAAGAGCAGAAGCAGAAGACACAGCCTGGCCTGAGCAGCTGCGTGCACCTCCCCACTCCCAGCAGATGAGAAAGGGGTTCTGGTCTCAGCTCTCATGGGCCCGGGACTCAGTTCTCTGGTCTCAGTTCTCATGGGCCTTGGACATGGCCCTGTCATTCTGTCTCAAGAGGGACAGTGAGGAATGGCTTCATCTTTAGACCTCAGCCCAGTGATGGTCTGGGAGCCAGAGTTGACAGACATGGAGTCAGAGAATTGATCAGGGCCCCCAGGGGGTCTAGCCATCAAATAGATGAGGATTTGGTCCTCCATTCATAGGAGCTGTGGGTACCAGGACACATACTGGACACTCCTGATGTGTCCCGACTCAGACAGAGCTGGATTCTGTGACCCGATTTCTACCCTGACCTGTCATGGACTCTGTCCTCAGGAGAGCCTGCCCCTGTAACCCAGGAATTTGTGCTCAATTTCGGAAATCACACAATATCTTGCTCCCAGGGACAGGCTTCGAGGAGAAATTTAAGAGAATGTGGAAAGACTTCGTAAACAGATTCCTTGAGATGGGTCTCAGACCCCTGTTTATATCAAAAAAGCAGCTGCTGACTTGGCCAAAAAGTGGGAGCTGCATAGGGAGCTCCATTGCTGCGGAGACAGCAGGTTTTTGTCTCACTTCCCCACAGGCCTGGAGCACTGTGTGAGCAGCTAGCGTAAGATCAAAGGACTGGTGGTAATAATCAGCCTCATCCTCAGCCTGGAGCCCATTGATGGTCAGAGAGCCTGAGTCACCAGCTTTGGAGCCAGAAAATCGTTCAGGGACACCAGAGGGTCGATTGCCACCAGCATATATGAGGAGTTTAGGAGTCTTTCCTGGGAGCTGTTGGTACCAGTTCACACCCATAATACCGATGTATGAACTTCCAGAGCAGGAGATGGTGACCTTCTGGCCCAGGGCCCCAGAAACTGCAGGTGGCTGAGTCAGCGCAGCCCAGGACCCTGGAAGGGAGAGAGACACAGAGTTGGTGATGATCAGTTCTGGAGACAAGAGGAGGAAATAGTGCCCAAGTATCCTCCCAGGACCGCTTCCCCTGTCCCTGCATCCAGTCACCTGTGCAGTGAGCAAGGAGGGCGAGGAGGAGAAAGGACCAGGCCATGGTGGAGGTCATCACCGATCCTGCCTTCTGTGGCCCCACCGCTGAGCAGAGCTTCCCCTCACCTCTCCCTTCCCGTCTTCATCCTCTGAGAGAGGGATGGACCAAACATGCAAATTAGACCCCCAATGCTCTGAACCCTCACTGACTCGGGGTCATGTCCCTCTGTTTGAGCATGTCAGGGGGGTGGGCAGGGGAGGGGCTGTGTGGGGACAGGGGGTTGGGTGGTCACAGTTGTGAGCCGTGAAAAGAGGGAACAGGAAGTGCCAGGTGGCAGGTCCTTGCTCTGTTGAACCCTGACCCCTCAGATACAGGTGAGTGGTGCCCCCTGGTGTCCAGGCCCGGAAACAGCACTGTGTGACATGCTGACACGATGGACCCATCAGAGAGAACTCCTGCCTCCCCACTGCGCTGTCCACTGTCACCTTCCTTAGGGCCAGGCCATGTGTCTCCTTATGAGGCCTCCCATCAAGTGAGGACACACTTTTGCTCTACTCTCGCTCCACATAGTGAGTGTGTCCACAGCTCCCTTGGCTGCTTAAGGGGCAGGACTGAGGTGGTGGCCCTTGTAGAACCACATAGATGAGGATCAAGTCCAGAGCAGGGATGGGTCCACACTGACACATGGCCAGTTCTGTGCAGGAGGCTAATTTCCTCCCTTCTACCTGATTCCTCTCTGGTTTCCAGAGTTCTTTCCCAGAAGTTCCCTCAGCACTGAGGAGACAAGGGGATAAGGAAAATGATTATATATTTTGAAATCAGCAGATGACACCTTCTCCACGGATTCTTTCAATCCACATCATGGGTACAGTATCAGCTAATCGTGAAGGAGGAACAAAATCAATCCTCATCATGGGTACGGTGTCAGCTAATCGTGAAGGAGGAACAAAATCAATCCACATCATGGGTACGGTGTCAGCTAATTGTGAAGGAGGAACAAAATCAATCCACATCATGGGTACAGTATCAGCTAATCGTGAAGGAGGAGCAAAATCAATCCACATCATGGGTACGGTGTCAGCTAATTGTGAAGGAGGAACAAAATCAATAGGTTCTATATGCAAATACTGAAAGGTAGGATAAACACATCACTTTTAGAAAAATATATTAATTTTACTTTCATATTAAAGAGACTGACTGGGCACGTGGGGAGCTGAAAAGGCAGAGCCTAGGGTTGACAGCAGGAAGGAGAATATGAGGGGTTGCCTGCAGCTCTTTTTTCTGGTCATTCTCCTCCCTAGAGATGGAACATTGAGACAGGAAACCAGAGCAAGATCATTTTCAATTTTCTATGAAATCCTGTGTGGAGAGGGATATCAGACCTCAAGAGTCAGGGGCAGAGCCTGAAGTCCTGAGGCACAGGGGGTCAGAGAGGAGAAGAGGAGGGGGGTGTGGGGGTGTTGTCAGGGCGAGTCTGTAGGATCTGGTCCAAGTTCACGTGGAGCTGGTTCAGAGAGAGGAGACTGTGTCTGTGACCAGGGTTATTGTCAATGGATCAGCTGTGGATACATCAGTAGTGACACAAGGTCACACTTGAAGGAATAAGATGGTAAAACTGATTTGGACGAGTGTTCGGTGGGCAGCTTGCATTCATTCTCCAGACCCTGTAGGGATGTACACTTGGGCTCTTTTACCTGATCCGTCAGTATGTTCCTTGGATGTCCAATTTTCCTTTACTTTACATTCAGACATGAGTGTTTCCCTTGTACAAGGACAGATCTTTCTGCAGGTGACCACCCCCCTCCTTATGTTTCTGTAGGTAAGTTTCTCACTGAAAAAATGCTCACAGCTATTATCTGTGTGCATAGGGATTTATGACTCATTTCCTCCTTCTCTGAGACGCTGTGAGGAAAGGTAGCTGCTCCCACTGCCGTGAGCTGTGTAGCCCAGTGAGAGTCCGCCTCGGCCTCAGCCTGCAGCCCCAAGATGAGCAGGACCCCTGCACTGGCCGAGGCATCTTTGGAGCCCGAGAAGCGACGTGGGGCCCTGGAGCCTTGGTGCTTATCGGAGTCTGTTTAGTAGTACGGGACGTACCAGGGAAGGCTCCCTGTCTTCTGCTGGAACCAGCTTATAGCATAGTTGCAAACGCTGAAGCCGCTGCTCGGGGTTCAGGTGAGTCTGGACGATGATCCCAGGGAGGCAGAAAGGGAGGGCGGCTGGGTCAGCACAGGCTGGACAGGACACCTACAAACACACACACTCATGGGTGATGTGGAACAGGGACCAAGGTAAATTTTCTGGTGCCTCTAAGTCAGAGCGGCTGACACAGGCTGGGGGGCCATCCTAAGTCCCTGAAGCCTATCCTTACCTGTGCAGTGAGACAGAAGCATGAGAAGGACAGGAGCCCCCGGTTGCCACACTGGGATCAGCTGCCTGAGGCTATTTTTCTCCTCCACCCTCTGCCTCAGGAGGGGCTGTCCATGCAAACGGGGTCCACCCGGTGACTGCTCAGCCCCCCTGAGCCCTGGTACTGGACCTCAGCTCACACCACACACTGAGGAGGATGGAGGTTGGCTTCAGTCCTGGGGAGAGCTTCGGGAGGAAGCACCTGCTGAGACCCACACAGGTCCCTGCTCAGGAGACTCTACCAGACCAGAGAGGACACAGCTGCTGGGTCCCCATCAGGTAGCACCTTACCCAGCCCCCAGGCCCGGGCTCCTTTGAATGGTAATGAGCTGCTTAGGGAACACAGGGCAGTGCCACTGTACCGGGACACATTCCTCACCGTGCCCCCAAGCCCTAAGAGCCCAGATTGTGCCTGCAGCTCAACATGTCTGATTTCTAGATGCTGTGATCCTTTGGGCCTCCCGATGATATTGTAGTGTCTCACTCTCAGAAGGGACCCTGGTCTATAGGAATGTACATATAAAATGTGAACATTACCAAAAGGAAAAGCTTCTTGAATGAAGTTCAGAGACCAGTAGGGGGAGCTCACGTGTCCGCCACGCCTCAACTGCAGACCCAGCAGAAGAAGACGGGTCATGCAAGTCTACAGACTACTGTAGCAACTACCTTATCACCTCTCCAAGAGAAAGAAGATTTCCACTTCCACCAGAAACACCCTAGCCAGTGAGAGACTGTCACAACTCAGTTATGAAAAGTGACTGTACTCGGAATCCCTAGTTTAGTCCCGCGGACTTTTTGGTCATAACATCCCTCTCACCCTCAGCTTTGCTCCGTAAATGAGATTTCCTCTCCTTTGTTCTTGGACTTACTATGGTATTCCCATAGTCTGCCTGTCCTGGATTATAATTTCCTACTGTTCCTGATTAAACCCACTGTCACAGGTAAAAATAACCAGCAGTTTTACGTATATATGTATGGATGTATGTATGTATTTAAATTCAATTAGCCCATTTATAGTATATCATTAGTTTCAGATGTAGAGTTCAGTGATTCATCAGTTGCATCACATCACGTGCCCTCCTTAATGTCCATCACCCAGTTACCCCATCCCCCCACCTCCCTCCTTCCCAACAACCCTTAGTTTGTTTCCTATACTTAAGAGTCTCTCCTGGTTTGTCTCCCTCTCTGATTTCTTCCCCTTCAGTTTTCCCTTCCTTCCCCTATGGTCCTCTGCACTGTTTCCTATATGCCACATATGAGTGAAACCATATGATAATTGTTTACTGGCAGTTTTATTCTTAAGGTTCACAGTAACACCTGAAGTGGTCAGCGAATCCCACAGTAGATTTTAGGAAAAGCTGAAGGACCCATAGGTGCCACACCTGATGTCACACACCAGGGGACAGTGGATTTGTTTTTTGTTTGTTTGAGTGTACTATAAGGGTTCTTCAGGGCATCAGTATAGAATGAACATATTCCAGATAATAAAACGCATAGTGATAGGTTGAAATGCTGGAAACTTCATAAAAATTCTATAAGATACCACCTTATACCAGTTAGAATGGCTAAAATTAACAAGACAGGGAACAACAACTGTTGGCCAGGATGTGGAGAAAGGGGAACCCTCCTACACTGTTGGTGGGAATGCAAGCTGGTGCAGCTACTTTGGAAAACAGTACGGAGGTTCCTCAGAATGTTAAATATAGAGCACTCCTATGACCCAGCAATTGCACTACTGGGTATTTACCCCAAAGAAACAGATGTAGTGCAAGAAGAGGCACATGAACCCGAATGTTCATAGCAGCAATGTCCACAATAGCCAAACTGTGGAAGGCCCGAGATGTCCTTCAACAGATGAATGGATAAAGTAGATGCGGTTTATATATACAGTGGAATATTACTCAGCCATCGGAAAGGATGAATACCCACCATTGGCAGCAACATGGTTGGAACTGGAGAGGGGATTATGCTAAGTGAAATAAGTCAATCAGAGAAAGACAATTGTCATATGGTTTCATTCATATGTGGAATATAAGAAATAGCACAGAGGATCATAGGGGAACGGAGGGAAAACTGAAGGGGAAGAAATCAGAGAGGGAGACAAACCATGAGAGACCGGACTCCAGGAAACAAACTGCGGGCTGTGGAAAGGGAAGTGGGTGGGGGGGTGGGGTAACCGAGTGATGGGTATTAAGGGGGGCACGTGATGTGATGAGCACTGGGTGTTATACGCAACTAATGAATTATTGAACACTATACCAAAAGCTAATGGTGTACTACATGTTAGCTAACCAAGTTAAAAAAGTAAATAAATGAATTTCTATCCTCTTCCTGAAAAAAAAAAAAGATATGTAATAGTTTTATAACATTTGTAGACTCAATTAGATTTGGTGATATAGGGAAATTAATACATTTCATATACTTAACCTTTAGTAGTGAATACCATGAGATTTTCTGTACTTTATGAAGTCAGGTTTATTTAAATAAAATGTGTGTTTTTATTAATAATTGCATTATATGTTTCTTGTTGGGAGCTTTTGCTAGGATATACAACTTGATTATATTGTCATTTTCCCACCTTAATTTTTTGTTTGTTATTTTCAGTTTCCTACCAAGATCAAGACATATCTCAAAGTCCTATGAAGATAATTTGAATG